CCATTTGAAAAGAGAATTTAAACCTGTCTTAAAAAAAAAAAAAAAAAAAAAAGGGAGAAAATCAGTTAATTACGGCTGCTTTGGCTAACTCACCGCTACCTTTCTAGCGCCGCCTTTAATTAAGCGCATTCCAGGGCTGGTGTTGCAGGCGCTGGCCGAAAGACACAAGACGCAGATCCAGGCAGATAAGCGGGCAGCTTTCCAGGCAGCTCGGGGCTGAGCCTCCTAATTGCCCGCGCGCTAACTCGGGGCAGCAGAAGAATGACCCCCCCGGCACCCCTTCCCGTCGCCTCTAAGCACGCACCTTCCGAAAGCCAACGCCAAGGAATCCCGGGCTGTTTGTTCCAGCCAGATGCCCCGGGACGGCGCTCGCGGTGAGGTAACTAGTCAGAACACGAGGATTTGCCGCTAAACAAGAATATTTTCTCCAGCGTCCAATTCCTCGCATTTTTTTCTCAGCATCCCCTGGCCGGGCCCCCGCAGCCGGGCCCATTCACGGCTTTTCACTAAGCACAGAGAGTAAATTCAAGTGGCTGGCTAATGTTTGCCTCCGTCTGAAGAGACGTATTAGTTATGTGAAATACTGCTGTGTTTGAACAGCCTGGTTTTCTCCCAAACTGCAGGCGGCTTCAAAGAGCCTGCCGGAGCGGGCAGAGCAAGAGCTGGACGTCGGGAGAGGGAAAGCTCCTCCCGAGGCGCCGGGCAGAGCTTTAGGAATTCCTGCCCGATTATTTCCTCGCTCGCTCACCTAGCAGACACGATGCAGGGTGACGCTGCTATGTTTCTTGTTCAAAATGAAGCGTGCACATGTCACTGCTCAAGACTGCTGTGAACTTGTCAAAGACACAATTCCTCAGCTTACTACAACTGAGAAAAGGTGTGGGGATATTGCCAACTACCCTTCAAGAAGGCACAAGCATCACTTTTTAAAATTTTATTTTAAAGCCAAGATATCTGTGGGTTGATCTGTGAGTGAGAGGATAATTTGTAGTAACTGTTTCAACTCCCTTTATAAAGAAAAACAAGCATTTACGCACAGGGAGTATAAGCATTACACACATTCCCAAGCTAACACAGATCCCTGGAAACTGGGCCCTGGCAGCAGTACAGGAACACTAGCCTGGGATATTCAGCGCCCCTCTTCAGCGCTGATACAGGAGCTTTAACTTTTGTTCCCAACAGGCTAGCAGTCTCATTTTAACACAAGCAGAGGTAAAATGCTGTATTTGCATCAGATGTAATGCCCACCTGCATGTGGGCATTAAACACAATCTTCAGAGCTTAAACACAATCTTCAAAAGGACTCCAGAAACTGGCGAGTTCAAAGAATGGCCCAAGACCATGAGTAGCAGCAGCAGCGATGAAGCACCCAAGTGACACAAACCTGCCTTTGCTCCCCGGGGGACAGCCAGTCACCAAATACTACAAGCTATAAACACTTCAATAGATCAAGCCAATTTGTTCTTTCTCCCTAAACACTGGAAAACTTGAGAACTTTGTCCATTTTTGCAGAGTATTTGAGCAAGGCCATCCAAAAGCAGGCAAGAGCACCCTCCGTGTGTGAGGCAGCCACGAGACTAAGCGCTTCACTCAGTCCCCGCTACGGACAAGTAGGACTCAAACTCACTCTTAAAGTAAAATAAGAGTTGGACAGTCTGCTTGCATTTAGCTTGACAGGTTTTCTTTTGTTTTTTTTTCTCCAAGCAAACGTGAGATGGTTGATGTCCTTTGACAAGTCTAAGGCATCTGCATTTTGTTTCAGTGATTTTTAAGGATATAAATATTGTGTTGCAAATGTATTCAAGCGATTTACATTACAGACAAATAATTCCACTGCATTTGTGTCACACTATATGACAAAGTGTAACCCCACAGACATCAAACCGTTACTTACAGCTGTCACATCAAGATATATTCTTATAATACATTCTTACTTCTCTGCAGTATTTTGATTCAGCTATCACAACTGCAGCGACTGGCAACTTCCTGTGAAACGCAATGGGCCAAAGAAACATTTAACTGAGAATCTCAGCTCTAGAGAATGCACAAATAGGCAAGTTAGAGTCAACAAATGAAACCACAAAAAATACAATAACATTTAATAATTCACAAGCTTGGAAAAAACAAGAAACTATGCATTATGAAAAAAAAACTTAATATAAGAACTTCTAAAAGGCTAAGAATTCTGAATTATTTCCAAGCCTAAAGCTGATTTTTACTGCCTTCTTCAGAATGTCTTAGGATTTATATTCTCCAATATTGAGAATTTTTTAGACTTAGATTATGCCCATTTACTACCTTGGCCACAAGTGAAAGGATTTCTCTTTGATTTAAAGTTCCATCAAAAAGGCATTTATCATCCCAATTTACAGCTGGAGGCTTTGAAGTGATGGACACATGTTCTGAATAACGCAGTTACGGATAATACAAGCTTTAGTGTAGGTAACCCTAGTTAACAGAAGATTAAAGAAAATTGTAAGAAGGGTCTTAAATAGGTGTTAAATACATCACACACAGATAGCCACCCCTCTCCGGACATATTTTAAGTATTAAAATCAATTTAGACATTATGCCAATTGGTGGAATGCCAATTTAAAAAAAAAAAGATGAAAAAATAGAAAAAAATCTAGGAAACAAGAATTATCTTTAGTTACTGTGTGCCTGATAATAATAACTGATAAGAAAGAAAGTCGAGCCACTCAAATGAAAGCAACGGTTTGGCAGAGCGTCACACCTGAAGGCCAAGCAGCGCGCGTGGAGGCCATCCCTTGTGGTGGTGGCTTTAGGGAGTCATCTCTGGGGATCCCAGACACCGGCACCACGAGCCCGGCAGGGAATAATGCGGTGCCGTGTGGCAGCTCTGTGGAGTTTGGTGTTCCCTACCTAGCGGGTTCTTTTTGGATTTGGATCAAGTTCACCTGTTTCTTTGGCTCCGATGGAAAGAATTTTTCTGTGCTTTATAGATGCTTAGAAAAAAACCCAAACCCTCCAAAACAGACCTAAGAAACCAGTGGTTTAACAAATCCCATCTGGATTCATAGTGCCTGCAACTGAGAATGACGGCAGTACAAACCCAAGAGGGAATGATGTGGAAGAAGTTTAGTATAACCCAGTATCTAAGGATAGATAATTTATAGATCTTTAGAGCAAGTTTTATATAGCCGCATACAAAAAGAACATATATCCTAAAAATTTTGCATTAAAGCTAAAGTGGTTCATAGGACTTCACGTTTTTCATTTAGGGCAGGACAAAGGTCAGGCTGCAGTTGAAAGTCACCTAAAGCCCCTCAGCTGTAATCAGCATCCCACCCTGCAGCCTGTTACACTGGTCCAGGTCTTTGGACCTTCCAGACCTGCCAGGAGACCACGATTCTGACCCAAACACCTGCCAGAAGCAACGCGAAAAATCTTCCGGTGCCACAAGCTCAACAAAGGCAGTTTCTCCTTACAAGGAGTTTCTCAAAATAAGCAGTATTTCACAACCCCACCCCAACCACTAAGCCTCCATCCAGATAAAACATCATCAGGGACATGGAGCCCCTTAGGACTGGGCAGGTTCTGCGCGTGGCAGCGGGTGCCAGCCTGTCAGCCCGAACAACTCCCTGGGTTCGCTGCGCCAGCCGGTGCCCGCGCCGGGAGGGCTCCCCCTCCGCTGCCCCCAGATTCCTCACAGCTTTGGTTTTTCTCAGCCCTCGCTGAAGTAACAGGTGGTGCCTGGTATTTGATATTGTTTTTTATGGGAGACGTCTAGTTATCTATCAGTGCAATGTTCTTCAGGAAGTCAAACAGCTTTATAATGTTTTATGGTTGTTGATCTCTGTTTTGGCTCCCAACTAGACATTTTTTGA